TATTTTTTTTCAATTTTCTTATCCTTCTTCCTTTTCTGTCTTTTTTATTCTTCACCATTTCCTCCTTTTGTTTTCTCTCCGTCTTACTTTTCTTTTTCCCCCTTTACTCCTTGATCCCTGACATGAAGAGAGACAAAACTCTATTCTTTATCATCATCTTTATCCTTTTTTCATTTTCTTCTCCTTATTTTCCTTCTTCTCTTCATCTTTTGCCTTCTCCTGCATCGTTCATTTTCTTCCAAAATCTCTGCTCTTCTTTCTCCTCTGCATCCTTCTTTTACTTTTTCTCTAAAAAAAAGAAGAAAAACTTCCTGTATTTTCTAAATTGACAACAAGCTGTACTAAATTTATATAAATTATCATCCTCCCTCAATATTTATCGTTAATGATTAACTAGAAGAAAGCAAAAAAATGATGATGATGACAAAGAGGAGAAGATGAGTTTTCTCTTTTTCAACCTGAAAACTCTTCAGCAACTCGTAAATTTCTTCTTAATATCTCAATTTTTGATGCTGCGAAAGTGGTTTCCAGCATCTTCAAGTTCAGAAAATGATAAAGAGGAGACGATAATTCTTCTGTGGATGATGCATCCATAGCAACAGCAAACGAAAAAAGAAAAAGAAAAAGCAATTTGAAGCAGGCTGATAACACAAGAAAAAAATATATATATATATACTGTTCGAGATGCAATTCAAAACTTTTTAGTACTAAAGAAATAATTTAGGAGCATCAACGAGCTTCGAACTTTCATTTATGTTACTATAATTGCATTTATTTGTTACTGCAGTTGCACAGGCTCTGATGTTTTCCTAGTGTGTTTAATTGTGCAACTTTAACATATGATAATGTGGCATTGTATGCAACATAAATTGTTACTATATTAGTATTGATATATTACTTCATATAAACATATATATGTATATGAATGCTTGTGTCTGTGTATGCACGTGTGTGGCCTATCTAATTGTTTTTGTGTATCTGTTTTTTGTCTTTGTGTTCCTATATGCCTATTTTTATGTGCCTATATGCCTATCCTCGTATATCTGTATTCCTACTTGTTTGTATTTTCTAATCTTGTGTTTGTGTATGTATTATTATTATATTTAACAAATTTATCTATTGTTTAACTAAAACTTCGTTAGCGTATGTATTTATTTTTAAATTCTCTTTTAATATTTATTAGACATTTTAAAATATTTAAACAGAATGCACATCGTACTTGCGATTTACTGAATAGATTTTTAAAATACCTTAAAATTGTCACATAATTGAAGCAAGAACGTAATTGACCCTAACGTTAAAACTATTTCATAAATCTAAGAATTTTTTTGAAAACTTTAATGAAAGATCATCTTATTAATTAATTTTAAACGTATTAATGTAATTTTTTTTAGTTTATTGTTTAAAAGATTGTATTTTTTCATCTTTATTACCGCGAGTCGCGCATGGAAGATGCGACATTTTCCAATTTTCTGCTCGTCTATCTGTCGGACCACGATAATAAATGTGTTTGTCAACAGTGCGACGCTCTGGTGGACTATGTAATAACATATTACGTATTTAAAATTCGAAATTTAAGATAAATTGTCCCAGAAAAAGATCAAAAGAAGTGAAAATTCCTGGCAAGCTTCTGTATAATTTAAAATTTATGCTGCATCCTCTCATTTATTGAGCTTATGCAGGAACAATTACTGTTTCGTTGCCAAAAACATTTTATTATTTTTTTTAAAGGTTAACGACTCGTTATAACGAGGAGCTCATTATACTCTTGCAAGTTTGCGAGTAATGGCGTTATTACGAGGTTCAAAAGTCAAGAAATATAAATCTTGCTAATGCAATATAATGATAGCCTTTAGCTAATGCGTAAACATTGTTATTACTTCGAGGGAACAAAATTAATGCATTAATAACGAATATCGACGTTGTAACAGGGATTTCATCTGCAGGGACGTTGTAACAGGGACCACAATACTGCCTTATTTGGAAATAAAGCAGTATTGTTAAAAAGAATATTGTCACTATAACGAGGTTTTCGCGTTGTAATGAAGTAACGTACTGTACTTTAGAAGGAACAATTTTTTTTTCCATGACGAGAATCTCAAGTAGTTCGTGTGATAATAACATTGTTATAACAGAGTATTGTCGCTGTAACGAGGTTTCGATGCTATAATAAAGAGTAAAGCAGCTTATTTATGAAGAATATTGTAAACGAAACAAATAAACTCTCTTATAACGAGGTCATTACACTAGTAATACATAGTAATGACGTATTTTTACAAGAGACATTTTAAAGTAAACAAGCAAATCTCATTACTGTTGTTAAAAAGAAGACTTCAAAGACGAAAACCGCACTTCTCAATGAAAAGCAAACAATATCCTCTATAAAAACAACAATACAATTTGTATGAGTAAATAGAAAAGCAATATAAAGTGAAAGGATATTTTGATTTTGCTCTTCTCGTTTTGCTTGACACAACAATGGCGAAATTACAATAGAAGACAGCAAAAACTAACGCCACGACACGCTGCAACCAATAAAAATCCTCGAGAGAACAGTTGTCGAGACAAAGTAAATTGGTTTCCGACTTAGAAATTCTCGCTTATAACGTAATAAAGCTACACGAAATTATTCCTTTTCCTGTTTTCCTTGTGCAATTGAAGATTGCAAACTAGTGCCGTCGACACGCTGCAACCCCAATTAAAATCCTCAAAAGAATATAACACAAGAGAAAGTAAATTGTTTCCTAACTTCAAAATTCTCGCTTATAACGTAACAAAGCTACACGAAATTGAAAATAAATTTTGACTATGCTCTTCTTTCTGTTTTGCTTGACACAACAATGACGAAATTGCAAAAGAAGATTGCAAAAACTAGTGTCGTCGACACGTTGCAACCAATAAAAATCCTCGAGAGAACACTTCGTAGACAAAGTAAATTGGTTCCCAACTTAGAAATTCTCGCTTATAACGTAACAAAGAAGAATTTCCTACGTTTGACGTCCCATAAATCATCAGTACACTTTGCGATTTTTATGAAAATCCCTAAAGTAAGTGGTCAATGTATACAGTTAACGTTGCAGCTCTTATCCCCAAAGCAGTAATTAGTGGAAGCAACAGAGAACCTTCAAAGAATAATAATTACTATGACTACATGGAATAATTAATTGTGTAAACAAGAAGAATTTATTAAAAGTCTAATTTTCTAAAGAGCACTAATTAAAATTCCTGTGTAATAATCGAATTATCTTCTTGTCTTTCACAAGAATCTTTTATTAAAATGAAAACGGCAATGAGAAAATATATAGGATTTCGAATTAATTAAATGTGGAAAACATTTGTTTTAATTAATCTGTTAAGTGTCGTCATATGAATTGCATCAGCAGCTTTCCTGTATGCAACAAGTGATTCTTCTCCCTTACTTCTAATTTATGAATCTTGTAAAGTGACAGCGTATTCAACATTTCATGCTTATTGAAAAAATTGCAGCTCTTAAATCCCACTATCGTTCTTCTGTCCGTCTGTCTGTCCTTAATCTCGAGAACGGAGTTAGATAGATGAAATCCGAAACCAGATATAGAAAACATAGGAATAGAAAGCCCTGATTAACTGTATGTGAACTTCTGATACAAACTGAAAGTCACGTTATTTCAATTCAAAATTTTCCTCTGAAAGGTGTTAAATAGATGACCGGCACGACTTTATTGTTAAAGGAAAAGTATGCTGTACAGGGGCAAGCCACTACTAATTTGATGTTGAGAAGATATATTTTATATTAAATAAATTAAAAATACGATTAAAAATTGTAGCATTGTAACCATATCACAATAAATAATTGCTGGTATATTGATTAATCTTTTCTTAATTTTTTTTTAACCAATCAAAGATGTCCGCAAGATAATCCTTTACACTGTTAATGGGTTTCCTTAATCCACGTGTTAACTAGTTAAATCTTTTCGGTAGATCCACATCGTTTCTGTGAATTAAATTACATAGGCTACATATTAGTTACGTAATCCGTTTATATTAATCCTTATTAATTAATTATTCTTGTTAAACTCGCTTCGTTAATCCATGTATTAACAGATAATCTGCTTTTAAAATGTTACTTTATTAATCTATCGTTTTTCTTTCTTAATTCCTTTTAAATCTATTATGAATCTACTGCATTAATTAGAAAATCAGGTTGTCTAATCCATTCATACACCCATCCATAAATCCAGATTTCGTTAATCCGTTAATCCTCTTCATTACTCTATTATACTATTAATTCATCTTCGTCGATTCATATTTTTATAGTTACGAATCCATATAGATCCATAAAATTCAATCGTATTTTTCCAGACTATGTGCCAAACCCAAAATTGGATTGTTTTGACCCAAACTATAGGGCAAATTAATTCAATTTGAACAAGAAATCCATATCAGGACAGTGTTATCTTCGATATAGCAACATCTATCCTAAAGAAATATGGTACGATCTATAAATCAGGATTCTATCTTGAAGCATTTTGTTAGTACTCCTTCAATGAACTTAACGAAATGCGATTGCTTCAGGACAGAAATATTCATTCTCAGTAAAGGGTAATCGAACTCGGCTTCTTCCTGGTATTCTTCTAATATTGAATTATTCGAAAGACTACAAGTGAAGCACACTCTTTCAAGAATCTTGTGATTCGTTTAAGAATCATAAGATTTATATAGCATGGAAATTCTATAAATCCTGTGATTCTTAGAGAGTTACATAATCATATAACTCTCTTCATGTGTGTTTATGGACCATCAAAAGATGAGACCTTGTAGATATTCGTGATCCATACGATAAACAAAGGGCATACAATGAAAATTTTATGTAGAAGATCTTGTCCATTGATGATCCATAAAGCACTGAATTTCAGAAACCATTTTACGTATAGAAAATGATTAAATGGTATAATTTTCTGCTTTCATGATGGCTTCAAATTGTTTTTATGTCGCTGCTTACAGTTCAAATTTCTTTATAGGTCATTTTCTTTACTATCCCATGGAGAATGGTTCCGTCACACACAACATCACTAGTCCATGGTTCCCCAATGGAAGCTTACCCAACTGTACTTTGGAGGTGTGGTATCACATGTACAACATGGATGAAGGCATAATAAAGATTTTAGTTAAGAGTAACGATAACATCACGACGGAGGTTGGAATTATCTCCGGTAATAACCATACTACGTAAGCAAAGGATATTTATTTTTCTTCCTTTCTCTAAACGATTAGATTAATTATTTTCCTTTCTCAGATTTCATCGCCAAGTTTTAACAATTACTTGCTACTGTGAATTTATTTCTCCATTTTATAACGTCAGCCATTACCATGACAACTGAATATAAGGTCTATTGCATTTACTGTAAGAGTTGATGCACTACTTCATTGATTTTATTGATTTTTCTTATCACTAGTTCTCATGTAACTATGAATTTGAATCCATCTTCCTCTGAAGAACTACAAACTTGGATTAACCTCTGTAAGATTAGTGGATTAATATTAGTCCTTAATCTTAACCTTACTCATTTTCAAATGTTTTAATGAATTTTGTGACTTCTTCCCGAAAGTTAGTTTATTAGAAATTCTATAATACGTAAGGATCAAGATTAGATTAAAAGTTAATCTGACCAATCCCTTAAATATTGAAAACTTTCGAGTAGCAATATGGGCGATCATCCTAATTATTACGTTATTTTGGGATTAAAAGTTATGCAAATTAAGCTAAATTAGTGAATCTTAATCCTTAATCCTCCTTAATCCAAATCTAATCCATCGAAGATTAAAACTTGGATGAATCTCTTCTGTTTAATTATCTCATCATGGACTAAACTGAATTAGAAATTAATAGAGTTAAAGTGGTTTACCTAATCTTAATCCACATTTGGATTAATGTTTAATTAATTGTTTATTATAATTAAACGTAATTATAGAGTTTCATTGTTTGTTTAATAAAATGAGATGAATTGTAAGAGTTAATCCGTGATTCTATCATTAAACCTTTTAATCAAATGGATAAATTTTGATAATCTCCTTACGATTAAGCGATTAAAAGCGCTTTAAATCCATAATATTTTCTTGTTTATTGATCTTGATAATCCTTCTGATCTATAGATTAACTTTTATTTGCTTCTTAATCTCTTCTGACTGATTATTGAAATTATCTCTTGAAGCAATCGCGTAAAAATTGCTGCTGCATGATTTGACATTATCCACTTTATCCTAATCCATGGATTATCTTGTCTTGTGATTATTAAGAATTCTTTACGGATTTATTGTAATCCATTTAAAAAATTTTTCGGTTTAAGAGATAATCGCGATTTAAGGGATTAAACTTGAAGTTGGTTAACGTGACCATCTTTTATCATGTACTTCAATCCAGTTAATTCATAAAATTTTATCTCTTGAATCAATTCTTATTCGGTGCAAATATTATACAAAACTATACTCGGATTTTATATAGGATGCAGACAAACCTCGATGTAATGCCGCCCTCGTATATAGAATTTTCTCGTTAAAGGATCTTACGAAAAGTTATGTGAATATCTCGTTACTTTAAATAATTTTATCATTTGAGATTCTTAGATCTAAACTCGATTTAGTGCCAATTTTAGAATGAGTGACGCTACATAGAAGTACGTCAATTCGGTTTTTTAATGTATATAACTCTATAATGTATTCTAGTCTGAGGCTACAATGTCTTCTTCACTAGCTGTAAAGTGACGTCATCAATAATTAGTTTTATTAGACTAGCAGATTCTACGACGTCTCTATATTTAAATCTACAATAGATTTTTTTTTACTGTCATTGAATTGAATTCTTTAATGGGCTTTATCTGCTTCAAACTTGAAACGTACAATGCGCTAGTAGCTTCTTCTAAGTTGAAATCTCCAATGGATTAGTAGCTTCTTTTAATTTTGTCTAAAATAGTCTAGAAGCCTCTTTTAACTTGAAATCTTCAATGGACTAGTAGCTTCTGTTTTAAATCTACAATAGGCTAGAAGCCTCTTTTAACTTGAAATCTTCAATGGACTAGTAGCTTCTGTTTTAAGTTTACAATAGGCTAGAAGCCTCTTTTAACTTGAAATCTTCAATGGACTAGAAGTTTTTTTAATTTGAAGTCTACAATAAGTTCATAAGTTATCATGACTAATTTCTAATTTCTAATTTTAAATTTACAATGGGCGTTTTGGCATCCTCTAAAGTTTTAATAAACAGAGTTTCGAACTACATTTTAGTATTGTGTTGTGTATTTGATTGAACTAAAGCAACTTTCGTAATCTTTTACAGATGGGAAAAACACGTCCAGACCATCAGATCCATGTCAAAACCCATCCATCTTGTGATCGAAATAGTCAATCGCAGCGAAGGAATTTTTCCAAGTCACGTGGCTATAGATAATATCCGTTTCCTTCACTGTTTACCAAGTAAGATTTCCATCACTCTTTTAGTATAATCCTAGTAGTAAACTAAATCATTTTAACTATTGTTAAGCAAGCTACGTGTGTTATCTGTTTCAGATAAACAGCTCTGGGACAATTGTTATTGCTCTTAGTGTAATGAGCAATGTTATAAACGAGAGTGTCGCTGGCAAAGGTGCAGTTACACTTTACGAGCGTTGGCGTATCATAATTCGATACATTTATCCATTTTTGGAACTGTTTATGTCATTTCAAAATCGATTTATATGAAATTCTCTGACATTTCCTTTATTGCCACTGTAACATTAATAATGATGTTGCTCTGCGTGTGACTCTTACGATGAGGGATTAAATGATAAGCGGGTCTTTTATGTCACCATTTCCCTGTCGAACATCAAAGAAATGTTTTGAATGTATTTAAAAAGTGTTTATTTTTGCGTCAAATTTTCAGATTTATAAATTTTGGCCATTTTTTTTTACGCGGATGCTCTTTGTATAAGCAAACTCATTTGCATGCGTAAAATGTGTTGCAGCAGCTTACTCCTGTTATCAACTGTTTGTTATTAATGCAGATTTTTTTATACATTGTGTATATAAGCTTAATTCAGGTGCCACTTGAGGCTACATTTACATATAAACGAAATAAGTTACATTTTAAGACATTGTAATAACAAGCAGGCTGAACATTAATGCTTCACACTACTGACACTAACAAGTTTTAGCTCACTACTTCAACTGACAGATGCCTCATACCAATAGGCTGCAACTAGTACTTTAGAACAGCATATAAAGAGGCTACAGATTAAAACCTGAAAATACGAAGCTACGGCATAGAATATCACACACGCTGTAAATTAATTATTATTTAGCAAAGTAGTTGTAGCTTAGGTCAACAACAACTCTAAGTTCGGCCCAAGTGCTACAAGTATTACTCACCAATAATATTAGTAGCACTAATCCAGAAAGAAAATAAACAATGGTTTCTTCATTACTAAAAAAGCTCTCTCCTCCATTACTACAGAAAGCATTATTGCTTACGTCGAATCAGTGTAAGTTACATTTCTCTGCAAATATTTTGTTTGTCTCTGCAAATATTTATGATGCTTCATCAAATAATCCACTTAAATAATTTATTTTCGAAACATGATTAGTAAATTCATGCGTGCTTCATCTCAAGAAAGTTCTTCTACTTCCTGCAAGAATTTAGTATTTGTAATTTTGATAATACAATATGCATGAAAATTTCTTCATGAATAATCAATTTTATGCAAAGTAAAATTCTAAAATTTGCATAGTTTATTTTTTAAAAATTTCTCTTTTGCTTTAAACTCAGTACATTCTGTTATTATTGAGCTGTTTCAGGAAATTTTGAAAATTATTAACGCTAAAAAAAATATATTCAAATATATAACATAAGTTATAAATATTTAAATTTGCTTTAAAACAGATTAAATTATATTTTTAGTCGATATAATCTATAGAAAGTTAAGATATTCTAAAAATTGATTTGTTTCGTAAAGCTGATTGGTTAGAATTTAAATTTGATTTAAATTCTATCCAATCACGTCTAAGTAACCACGCCTATTGGTTACGTATTTCGATTTCAGCCAATTAATGAAACGAATAGTTTAAATTTTTAAAGGAGCTTAACTCATTATATAATTCAATAACTAAAAAATTTCTAAAGTAAGTTTAATTTACGTTTACCTTAAAAATAAACTATATTAAACCTTACAAACCATAAAAGTGAATTTGTTTCAATTGTAAATTAATTAATTAATGAAAAATTTACGGTTTACAGCTTTCTATTTATCAGTTTCTATCATCGTTATCATCAACTCCACAGGTCTAAATTTACGTGTAAGCTACAGTTTAGGGCTTCACCTTATGAGAACCTCATACTTTTAAGTTTATTATTATTATTATTTATTGGAAGAGAAAGGATCTCTTGGGGTCAAAATAAGTTTAAATCTGCCTCATCATCTGTATTGATTCCTCCAAATTCCTCCATTCATCTCTGTTTTGAAAATATTTCTTAATATTTCATGACATCTGTCTGTTTACTGTTTTCCACTGCTTTTAACTTGTCATTTCTAATTACATTTCTCTTTCGTCTGTAAAAATCTTTCCAGTTTAATACTTCGCCATTTAATAAAGTTCAAATGAGGCTTCAGTAAATCAATTTTTACCTCATGCTTTGTGATTTTACGTCTTTATTAAAGCTGATTATTTTAAGGTACACCCCATTAATTTGATTTTAAATAATTTATACGCATTACTTACCTGAACAGCTACAAGTAATGTATACAGTACTGTATACATATACAGGCAGTATAGACATTGCCTAACTCTATATAATAAGGTAATCTTATATGATGTACAGTAGAGCATATACATAATTGTTTCCTTATTATATCTTAAGTATATAATTTACTGTTTATATTCCTTGTATAAGATTCATACAAGTTTCATGTTGCAAAGATCCAGTGTACAGAGTCTATATGGATTCTGTATAGATGATTCGTACAAATTCTATAGACACTGTATGCAGGAGCATCGTATGCACTGTTTACAATTTTCATAAAGGATGTACACGTCGTACAATTTTCAATGGCATATATATAGAAATGGTGCTGCTGCATATATAATTAGAGGCTGTAAAAACGTGAAATCTTGCTTTCACTATTAAATATTCAGCATACAATTTATATTATTTCTGTATAAAAGTGATTTGGAACTTAATATATGGAACAGGAATTCGCATAAAGACTATACACTGGGTTCTTTGCAAGTCCTTTGTATAAATTGCTGTTGTATACATACAGATCATACATAGTTCCACATTGCACTGGTATACATAATTTATGCAGTGTTACTTATTGAGATCCACCACAAGATCCTTAGCATTATTTATACAGGAGTACCAGAAAGTCCGTGATGTCTACATAGAGACTATAAGCTGGATCCAACGTACAGAACCCATATTTATGTACATTTAATTATAAAAAGTTTATCATAAAGAGGAACAAATCTGCAGAAGAAACTCTTGGAAATGATGCATTTTAAAATAGTTTCTCGGGAAAATTTAAACATTATCTTAAGTTGCATTTACCGGAAATAGTATAAGCCTCTTATTTTTCTAAGCAGAAAAACTGTACTTTAACAGAGCAGTTGGAGGTTGCAGAGTGCAATTCCCACTACTACTTATGTCCTGAAGACGTCTGCATCTACCGTCACCAAGTATGTGACATATCCAAAGACTGTCTCAACGGAGAAGACGAACAAGAAGACTGCAGTAAGTAAAAATCCTATTTTTAAATATAAAAAAGGAGACTTTATTTTTATCTTCAAACTTTAAACTTTTATCGAAATTCCTTACTTCTCTTTTGTTTCTCCTTTTCCTCCCCATTGTTTCCCTTGAGTAAACGTTTAAGAATCGAACTGCGCGTTATACGCGGTTAACTGGCAAAATCGTTGTTTGTTTTCAATTGTGACGTCTTCTGACGCTCGTTTGACGTAATTTATCACTTAAAATGACGGATTTTGTCGGTAAAACTTGGAAATTTATAATAAACTTTGCGAGAGATTGATGAATGTAATACTAAATCCTGTTAGCATGCATACGATATTAGTTAAAATACTGAACTTCTAAGTAATTGTGTTCGCTTCAGCTTAATTTTATTTGATATTTTCTGTGTTGCGGATAACGGTGAGGAAATTTAGAAATAAATTTAAGAGATTTTTCGTCCGTCTGGATGTCTGGACTGTAGATTTTTGTTCGTTTTAAGCGAACGTTATACGTACACAATCGTCTCTTTCAGGTAAAGTAGCTTAATTTGTCAATTTTTTAAGGGTAATTTTCTAAAGTAGTTAATTAAAATGACCCATAACTTGTTCACTCTTCATGGAAAATCGAAATGTGTTTTAGTAGCTGTTTAATTGAATTTTATGGCAGACCGTCGCGTCTGCGCCGCGCCGATGCGAAGCGATTTGAATTATTTAAGTATTTTTTTTTTTCTGTTAGTTCTTTCATTACTTTTATTAATTTTTCTATTAAATTTAACGTTTCATGCGTAACATATTGAAGTTAAATTAATTTTATTTTTTAGAAACAGTTGTTGAAATGTTTAATGAAATTCGAGCTGCGACGAGCGACACGCAAAACTGCGTGTCGCTCGTCGCAGCTCGAAGAAAGAATAATGAACGTTTACAAGAAACAAAGAAAAATTTAAACAAATTTCTAGTAAACAAATAAGATTTACTAAAATTTATAAATAATTACAGTCAAACCTCTTAACAACGGACACTGATGGGAACATAAAAAGATGTCCGTTGTTCGGAGGTTTGTACAAGTATATAGAATTTTAATTTATTCCTAAAAATTGGTATAAATTAACGGTATTAAAGTCAACATTAAAAAATGTAACACAAAAACCCAGAAGAGTCTTCATACTTTATTCAGAGGATGAATTGAAAATAAAGATCTTCTATTCTCTTCTTTAATCATTCACCTCTTTTGTCTTCATTCAGGAGGTGAATCATAAAGATCCTTCGTTCAACCCTTTGATCATTCGCCTTCTTTATTGTTTCTTCATTTGCCTCTTTGTTTTTCATTCGGAGGATGAATGAAGAATGAAGATCCTTCTTCATCTCCTTCCTTTGTCTTTTAGAGGTAAAATACAAAATAAAGATCTAATCTTCGTCCTCTTCTTCCTTCTTCTCTTCCTGCTCCTCCTCTTCTTCTTTTTCCTCCTCATCTTCCTCCTTTTCCTCCTTTATTGTATCCTCATTTAAAAGATGAACGAAGAAAAAAAGATCCTTCTCCATCCCTCTTTATTTATTTAAAGGACAAATCAAAAATGATCCTTCTTCATCTTCCCTATTGTTTTCTTCATTTAGGGAATGAGTGAAGCATCTTTATTCTTCATTCATTCCTTTGAATCGTATAGAAAAGTGTCGAGTTCTGTTTGTAGATGGTCAGTCAACATACACTTTTATAAAAATGTCACCAGATACAGCCATTTGGTCACAAATAGTGCTACAAATATACTCCCTTCCAACACCTTAGTTGTAATGGTAACAATAAACTACATTGTCAGAGACAGATATTGTTGTTCTATGTTATAACTCAAACCATATCTGCTTTTATATTTCGATAATGGAAAAGCTTTCGTCGACATTTTGTTACAATAAACCTAAGTTATGCTCGGATTTAATATTTTTCTACACCAAAATTTGGCCCTTTATTTTCTATTTTTAAGATGATAAAGTTTTCGTATATCCACCATTTCTATTACTTTCTTACTTTATATAGTGTATTGTTTCGAGGGAGATAAATCGATGACGTACTTAAATATACTTTTTAGTGTTTCTTGAAACGGGTGGATTAGTTTTCTAGTATGTGTTTGTCTTCGTGTGCGTGCTTTTCTATTGATATCTGTGTCTGATGTGTGCTTTTTGTGCGTGGTTCGTTTGTGTTCAAGTGTTCTAGAAGTTTTGGTGCTGTTTTTATGTGCGTGTGTTTACTTTGTTATATGGTGGTTCGGTTGTTTGTTAGTGTTCTAAGAGCTTTATTTAGTTTCTCTTTGTATTGTTATTTGCGTTCATTTGTATTAACAATCTTTACATTGTTAACACACTCAAGCATTGAAAAAGCAAAAAAGATACAAAGGTGCATAGAAATATAAACACAAATGGTATGTAAGTAAACAGAATCGCAAGTCATTGTATTTTGTATTCTTGACTTTGATTATTTATTCTCATTCATTTGTGTTCATTTACACATAAAACAACACTCTGAGTGTGTAGGGTGTTTGTATGCACAAACCATATTTATAATAAGATCATGCAAAAATTGCCGTTATAATTAGTGTGCACAAACTACTAATATAGTGTGTAAACTATTATCAGTAAAACTCAGACACAAATCACACTAGTAATAATGTGTTTTGTGTGTTCACTTCCTGTGTTTATTGTTTCTGTTAATATGCGTGTTTACTATATTTGTGCTTGTGTGCTTATTGTCTACGATAGTGTTTACTGTATTTGTTCTTATTGTCTGCGGTTGTGTTTACAGTATTTGTACTTGCATGCTTATTGTTTTCGATTGCGTTTGCGCACATTACTTGCGTTTATAGCCACTGTTTCTTTCAGCACTTTCCTAAGTCTATGACATATATTTTCCAAACTATTTTTAAATAATTAACATAAAACCACGTGTGATAAAGACACTTTGTTGCAGTGTTATTTACCATAATTCAATTCTTTAGATCAGATTCCACGTTCTGCTTTCTGTGATTTTGAAACGGATACGTGTAAGTGGACAGGAAACAGCACTCAGGAAAGTTCAAGCATGAGTAATTGGACAAGGCAAAGTGGTCCTGTATCCATTCGGCAAGAGAGATTTGGACTTTATTACGATCATACTTACAAAAACGAAAGTGGTATGTAACACGAATTGTATGAGACACTTTAACCAGCATTGATAACGTTGATTAATTGTTTATAGGGCACTATATGTTTCCAAAATATAAATCCCGCTACAGCTTTGGAACTAACAATTACCTGAATAGCGATATATTTCATCCTCCACCCATATACCACCGTACTATCCAATCCTCATACTATAACACGTGTCAGGTAAGTAAATGTGTTCTGTAACTCTGATGTAACACACAAATACATCACGATTCTTGTCTTATAGGTGAGATTTTTTGTCTACATTCACCGTAGATCATCTGTACCTCTGGTACTCAATTGCGTAGTTTTGGATCCGTTATATCATAATGGGCGAGTTATACAACTATGGGATAATAAAGGACACTTTGTAGAAAGATGGGAGAAAATAGTTTTGTCAATTCCTGCCATTAAGCACAGGTAACGTGTAAAACTTGATTTCCATATTCATAAACTAGCAAAATCATGGAATAGTTTAAAGGGTGGAGTTGATTAGTTAATGTTCGAAATCTTCTAGACGTATTACTAAATTAAATTTTCAGTCTCCCTTCATCAAATTTTACAGAGAAATATAAATATAGATATATTTTAACAATTAAAATAATTGCCGTAAAAATAAAATTAAAAAAAATTGGCAAAAATGTCCGTTTAAACATTGAAGGTCCTCTGCGAAATATAAACAGATAACATCCTGAAAGATTTAAACGAAGCTGAATGGAGGAAATTTACATATCTCCTCCTACTTTTAATTCTCTAACCAATTGCTGTTACGGAAACAAGTTTTATGCTATTTTTTACGTGCATTTAACTGAAATTATTACAAATAAATCTTAATTTAACTTCTTAAGCTATCAGAGAAACAATAGACGACTGTAGCATCTCATGATGATAATTAAGATGATGTTACGCGTCGTAACATAATATAATCATATTTTGTATGGTTACTTTCATAACACTCGAACATCAATTTATTGTACTAACGAAAGAATAAGCTTAAGCCTGTCTTGTAGACTTATGTGATGATGAAGTCCTTCGTTACGTAGAGCATAATCATAGTATTTTATGGTAACTGTAGGTATTGATGGTAACTTTTACAGCTTTGATACATAGAGATGCGGTTAGTTTTAGCATCATCAAGTTCAAAAATAAATTGTTTACAAACATTCACGCCTATCAACAAGATCATAACACTTCTAAACGTAACAGTTGGAAGGGGGTGAGTTACCATTATCGAATCAACTTGAGGATAGAAAATGGAATATTGATTTAACAATTCATTCGAAAATACACGTCCGCAATGTACAGAAATTCAATTTAAAATCATTGATTTGTTTCCAGAATCCTTCGTAACAAGTAACAATTTCATCGTTAGTATCCGGCTACTTACCTACACCCCATTATACGATCGAACATCCCCCGCTTTAATACCTCCGCTAGCGATTATTATGTAGCTACGTCATTAAATATATCGTAACGGCATAGTTCTATCATAACTAGAACATTAGGTGATCGTACGTGTCTACTTCCGTAACATTTCTGTCAATTAGGCTGTAGCCACGTAACGAGATTTTGCTTCTAAATTGGCAAAAGTCCAACTGAAATCGATCGCATTGCTGCAGTATACATAGAGTAGATAGCGCCTTTATTCACATCCCACCCCCAAAACTAAGCTTGTAAACGTGTTTAAACATGATTTTGTCTGTACAGATAAGTCTGAAAAGTTACTTTTTTTTTTTATTTACAATAAAGTCACAATTAAGAAATCGTAACTCACCCCTTAACATGCCACGTAAAGGGTAAAACTTCTAAAAGGTTAAAGTTCGAGTGGGTGTACATTAAATTTCATCCCTCTTTTTTAAATAATTATTAATTAATTTTTTATATTATTGTGACGTTTACAGTTATTACTTACAATTTGTCGTCACTCGAAGCTTAAACAGTAATCCAATTGTAGCAATCGACGATGTTACTTTAAGTCCTGAATGTTTTGGCATAGGTAAGTACAAATTGTGGGTAATTTAATTGTTAAGTATAGACTTTTATATAATATTTTTCTTCGTAACGGTTACGCAATAATGTTTCCAGCAACAATTAACACGTAAATAACTTTTAAAAAAAATCAATTGTATTCGTTTAATTCTTGCGTAACAATTGAAAATAGAACTGTAAACTTGTTTTTCCTTAATTAAAAATTTAACGTTACGTAACAATTACTTTCGCGTGAAAAAAAACAATTGTTCTATTATTCAAAAAACTGCTTTATTGCATTGTAAATTTCAATTATTACGTAATAATAAAATTTAAACAATATAAAAAGAATTCAATTCGTTTATGTAACAATACAATTATTGCATTGCTTTGTTACGTAATAATGAATTTTTAAATTATGATAATCTTTTCCTTGAGATTTATAATTACTGCTCAATTATTATTAATTGTTATAAATCTATTGTTGGCGATCTGGCATCATACAAAAAATAAAATAATTTAAAGTAAATTGTTTCAACTGACGTAATAAATAAATCACTCGTAATACTCATTTCACTGTTACGTAACAATTTACGGTTATAAACTTTAAATAACAATCATTTTAAGTGAATTTTAGTAATTAAGTCACAAAAATCGATTCCTTTCGTGATTCAAAATTATTGTTGCGTGTGAACTGCTACGCAACAATGCATTTATTACAATAATAAAATAATAATAATAAAAATAAAATCTACTGTGACGTCAATAGGATATTTTATGAAATAAACACTTTACTCGTAATTTTTAAGCAGCTGTACAAAACGAAATCTTACGTAACAATCGCTTTCTATAACAATAATTAATTTCAACTTAAAACGAAGAACACGAGCGATTAAATTTTTATCATTTGAATTAATTAATTTTTATAATTACGTATCATTGATTTCATTACACAACAATCAAAATATATTAATAAGATTTCCATTGTTACTAGTTTAAAACAATTAATCGTTAATTAATTAAAACACATTAAAATAAATCTCTACCAGTATATATAAAGTAGAATGTTTGTTTGTTTGTTCTCGATACATTTCTAAATCCTTTAACCGATCGTCATCGAAATTTTCATGCTTCTTCTCTAGGATTCTGAGGAAAGTATGCGCTACCATAACACCTGGACTTCCCTGATTTTCCTCTATTAATTCACCTATTAATTACTCTGTACGACCCTGTGCCTAATATAATCTACTATAAAACAGGGACATTCCCAACCCTCTTCTTATTTCTGTAGATATGGTAAATAATATGATCGGTGAGTCTGCTGGGAAGCAGCTTTCAGAAGTGCCTTTGTTTAATAACACCATCAGTGGCAGAATACAGCACATAGAGAAGGACCTCCAATGTTCAGTTATTGAAAAAATAGAAGGGATTGCAGCTGGATGAGGACACATATAATAATAATGATGCTCACTTGATTTGCTACGTACAGTTTATACATTGTAATAACATTGTAGAAGACCTTGTCTTTTATAAAAGTATAACTTCTGGTGTTAAGGATCAAGATTTGTTCGAGATCCTTGATATTTTTTTATCCGAAAATAATTTGGAGTGGACCAAATGCGTTGATATCGGTACTGATGGTGCTTTGTTCTATGTCAGGCTGTTATAAAAGATTGCAAGCACTTATACCAAGCAAATCCCCTTTGGTGCACTGTGGACCCTTTGCGTTATTCACAGGGAACCACAGACCTAGACACCATGCTAAACACACGACTGTTTCCATTATTACTTTTTCACCGGGCATATTCGCTAGTATTTTATAATAATATAGACAGACAGACAGACAGCCGCGACATCTGTTTTTCTCATAATTACAAAATGATTTTTTCTCGTGTGTTTTAATGCAGTTACAGGAAAGATAAATTAGAAAATTTATATAAATATTTAATAATAAATACTTTAATTTGATTACTTAAATTTTCAATAAAAAAATTTAAAATACTGTAGCTTACAAGTTCGTGACACTTACCTAATATTCGAGTTGAGGTCATCGCAGCGAAAATACAAAATGAGGCAAAACTTAAATTATAATAGTTTAACTAAATATAAAATTCAGAATTATCCAGATAATCTTACAAAATCAAATTGATCNGTTGTATTTTTAGTGTTTTCAATTTTAAAATTGAATTGATTTTAATCACGTGATTTATTTTTGTGGGGAGAATTATCCTGTATTTTAGGGTAAATCATACTATTTTATGTGATAAAGAATTCGTTCTATTTGAAGGAGAAATCATACTTTTAGGAGAGAAAGTAATTGTTCTTTAGGGAATGAGTTATATTTGAAGAGGAATTTGTACTTTTTAAGTGGAGAATAATTGTTTTTCTGGTGTTGGAAGCATTTTTCTTTATGGGAAAAGATCATTCTTTCGAGTGAATCATTCTCTTTATGGTTAGATTAAAATTGCATGTTACAGTTGATGATTTAATTACACAAAGTTGGTTTATATACATATAATTTGACACACTTAGAGAGATTGTTGGGTGGAGCTTTCAAATTTAATCAGCGAGTGGAAATTCTACTTGATTTTGTGTTTCCTAACGGATCTTTTTGAAAGGATTAATAAGATTTTTAAGATAAAATACAGACAAATTACCGTTAAAATCTACCAACTTTATGTTGAATACATTTACGTGACGTAATATCCTGACGTAATGCATACTTTCCCCACCACAGGATTTCTATTTCTCAAATAAAAAGTTCAGTTCCAAAATTTCCCACTAGGATGAAATTTGGCGCTGTGATTCAGTTTTTCTGTATTTTCTAGATTTTTTTGGTAACCTTTCGAATGTGCAAATTGTATCGAAATTAGCGCCAAGTTTTCCCCTATGGGGAAATTTTGAAAGTAAACTTTTTTTATTCGCGAAATCGAAATCATGTGGCGAAGAAAGTGTGCGCACGAAATTTGGCCCATTCGTTTTTTTTTTTTTTTTTATATATATATACAACTGTAAACAACTGTTTAATTATAATAATCACACTAAATAACATAGGAGGAAGGGGTGGAAGTAGATGCTCTAACTTCACAATTTTCTTATCGACTGGGATGTGATTTTTTTCTGATGTAGTAACCAGGAAGTTGCAGCAGTTACTGCGCTTTTTTTTTGTTATTTTCTGTGGTGCAGGAAGGAGGAGGAGGAGGAGGAGGAGGAAAAAAAAAGGATTCTCCTTAACGACCTGGCTCAAGTATCCCCAGGCAATTCCATCCCAGCGATGCCACTTCCATCCAAGAAATTAGACTTATTGTGGATTGTGAAGTGTTCTGGTCATTTTTTGCTCTATTTCTTGGCCCTGATTTCACGAAATTGATACATAAAATATGAAATATATTCCCCTCTGTTACAGTATTTTATCATCTTTCCACTTATCGCTCGCTGGTTGTTGGAATTCAGCTGTAAATATTTTCTAAAGTAAAAAGCATTTCCATTGTTGTATAAGAGTGGATATAAAATATCTTACAATGGATTTCTTTTCTTTTAATTGTAGAATTTTAAAAAAATAAAAGCACTTTCTGTTCTATTAAATGACTTAACAATGAATAAAGGTCGTTCTTCGTTCAGTTCAGTGACGTAATAATCGATAAATTTTATCGTTTCTCCATGTTATGAAATGTTTTTTATATAATTATTTAATTAAACAATTATTCCTTTTGAATTTTATATTATTCAAGAATGAAATTATAAACTTTATTACTTTAAATAACTTTAAATAAGTTGTATTTTAATGTTGATAACACACTTTAAATGCCACATTCATAGTTTATGTGTTATTTATTTTACTTTAAAAATTAATAAAAGTTGTTCTAATGTCTTCGTTTCTTGTTTATTTATCATTTTAAAGTAAAATAATGTTTAAACGGAGGTATAAATAATAATACAGTGTCACGAATAACGTATTTTTAACTGGAAAAATTATGAAGTTATATACGACCCCCCTATAACACTGTTGATTTTTCCGTTTTATATGAATTCCATGTTGTACGAGTCACTTAGATTTTACAAATACATAAGCCGTTCACAGCCTGGCACACGTATTTGTAAAATCTAAGTGACTCATACAACATGGAATTCATATAAAACGGAAAAATCAAGTGTTATAGGGGGGTCGACTGTACCGTTATGAACAGACAATACACGCTTTTAAAGTTACGTAAATAAAATTTTTATTGAATGTCGACTGACAGTCAAAATTTAATAAATAAGTAAATAAATGTTCATAATTCAAGTGTGTTCAAGTGTATACACGTTTTTTGCAGAATCTGTTAAGAGTTCAACTGCTAAACCCGAGCATAAAGGTATGTTCAATTTCGTGAAATTCATTACGAATTTAATTGTATATCGATTACGCAAAAGTAATTTTTGTATGTATAAATTTCAGGTTACCATTTTACACCCTGTGGTAAGAATGGAACCACGGGTCCTACTAGACAAATGTGTTACGAGCATTACAAAGGTACAAACACCGAAGTAGGCATGAGAGCTGATAGGTTACCAATGGCTGGTATACAAGAATGGATTGTACCACACACAGGCGTATACACGTAAGTGTGATTGTTTTATTGATATATCATTATCTATGCCTGTGGCGTGTATTTTTAATGTAACTTGTGTTATATTCCGCAATACATTTGATGGCGCTGCTATCGATTTACAGTCTTTTGTAAATTGTCATTATCTACTGTACTTCTGTTTGTTGTGTTGTAATCGATTACGTCACAGTTTTATCAATTCCGTTGTTGCCTGCAGGTCTGGGAACCCGGGATGGAATTCAATTGAGGAATTTTTCATAAATCCAGGCCCTCATTACCCAGTTAATTTCATTGTAGGCCTGGCCGAAAAAGGCCCTCTTAGTGTCTACAGGGTGAAGTTTAAAAGAAAAAAAAACCCATATAAAACTTATCGAGCTTTGCAACCCTGTAGTGAGGCAATTTACCTCATTCCTCATCCCTCATATATGCTGGCTTTCCTATTCTGTACAAAACTCGTCTAAATTGAAGATGGTAACAAGAGAGGAACTCCAATCTGTATCGAACCTTTTCTGATGCTCATATTACACCCTCAATCAACTAACCTAATGGAAGTTGCTATCATTTTGACATGTCTTTATTCTTTTATTGCATCCTAACTTATAACAAAGACTTCTAACGTCATAGATATGACGTCACGTCTTTATCAGCGCCATTATGCCGGTGTTTGTTTACAATGCTGCTTGAAAAAAATCGATTTATGACGATTACCTCGCATTATATTGGAAGTTTTCAATAAAAGTTTTTAGTGTTTGGTAATCAGAACACCTGAACGCTCGATTCACGTTTCACCAACGGGCTGGGCACGTGTTTTTCAGGTTTTTTTTTCACGTGTGTCACACCTAATCGAAACAAGTTTTCCTTTAAGTCATCCCTGGAGACACCCGTTGGCAGATTGTCCATGTGTTGTGTTGCGTTATATCATCACTCCACTCCTATTCCCCCCCGTCTTCTTGCCTTTTTCTTTGTTTTTTTATCTGTGTATTATTTCTTAGTGTAAAGCATCTTCACAATTACTTTATTGTTTGCAAAGATGTATATTCATCGAAGCCTCTGTAGATAATAATTATAATACTGTATATTATGCACAAAATATTCGTTTATTTAATTGTGAATTATTGATCTCAGTGAGTAAACATTGACACTAAATTAGTTATAATTGCTTTTAATAAATAAGAAATTATTTTAAATTTGTGTACATAATTTTATGTTAATATATTAATAATCACAATTAATTTTCTGAACTTTTAACATAACTGGAAGATTATCACAGACACTTGACAAGGTCTTTTGTATTTCTTGCAACTGCAGTCCAAGTATTCCAATACTTACTCATGCTGATTAAAATACTATTTTCGTCCCTCATGCTAGTCAGAATCCCATTCATCATATTCATGTTGTTCAGAATCCTATCCCTCACTCATGCTGCTATGATGAATATTCTCATTCCTCTCATATTGGATAGGGCCTTTCTTATACCTCATTCATGCTGATCATCGTTCTCACCCCTCTGTCATCTGGTTAGAGCATCGTTCTCATCATTCACCCCTTTTATCATCCTAATCGCGTGTCAGTTCTCTCCGTAATGGATGTAAATGTGATGTTTCAGCACTCATCTTATTTATTAATCAGTCGAAAATCAAAAGATATATTTATCTTATAACAGCAGAAAAGAATAGAAGCATCAGTAACGTCAACAGATAAACAGCAGCGTGCTTTTTCCAGTATATGATATGTATTGATCTAGTGCTTTTATAAACATCTGTCGACTGAATTTATACAGTTTATTTTTCCTTCTACTACGTTTTAATTCCTTTAAACTGTTTCATCCTGCACGTCGTAAACATCAAACTACACCCGAGGAAATATTTTGTTTACGCAACCGACTCTGAATTAGGAAGTTACAATTATGCATCTCAATTGATTTCATTAAATGCAGCTGCGTGTTATACACTGTGACTAAGTGAAAGTTATAAAAGTGTAAAGCTGAAAGAAGGTTTATGAAGAATTTTTGATGTCATTCTTTAATACTTTTTCATCAAAACTGCCGTAGTTTAATCATTTATCTTATTTAACCTCTGTAAATGCCAATTAACAGAGGTTAATGCTCTGTCTTTAATGCCAATTATACCTTAATTCAGTGTATATTTTACTGATCTGTAGGTCCTCGTGTACAGTTTAACCCTGTTCCTAACCGATTTAAACAGCTCTAGAATTAATACGGTCAACTGAATTTTGGGCCACCCCTTATTCTTCGTTGTGATGCATATACCAAAAGATAATCGTATACATATGTTTATATTCTCTAGCTTTTATGTAGGGTGGTCCAATTTTAAACACTTAAAACCGTATTAGTCCTTTTAAAAAAATGTAGCTGGTTAACTGACTTTTGGACTTAAAAGCGTGGCTCTTACGTATCAGTAATTCGATCTGTACGTTCAGTGTATTTAATATTATCTCCTCTTTGTGTTTAATGAAGACAATAGATATTATTTAAACATTTATCTCTAAAATAATAGAGGGGAGTTCAGATTTATCTTTGGTAGAGAATAGAGAAATCAATATCAGATGTTATCATTGAATTAATGATACTGTCTTTAACTGACAATGCTATTGTACATGTATATATACAATATTGATGTATATATATATATATATCTTTTGATAGAGATATAATAAATACAAAATGCAATATTTGTTCGGTGGCATGGCTGAAAAAGAAGAAGAATAATCGAAGTAAATTGTGAATGTTCTGAGATTTATATCTAGAAAAGTTCAGGAATTGTCTGATATATCAGATAAGGGAATATATTAGATTTTTATATACCCGTTACAAAGCATTTCTCGAGATCTTTGACCCCAAGATGACCTCAACTTGACCCCGAGTTAAACAAAAAACATTTTTTGTTTATCCAACATCAGGTCAACTTGGGTCAATTCTGATGACATCACGTGCATCGATAGCTGTATTTTTAGAGGCAGCTAAAGGAGCAGGAGGGAGGAGAAATGTGGAGAACGAGCACAGGAGTGTGGCTCGTGCCTCTGGAATTATTATGTATTAGAGAATTAGCTATTTATTATTTTTTTAATCAGAATTTTTAAAGATTTTAAGGAGATTTCGATGAAGATGAATGTGATGTGCAAGGAATTTATTTTATTCATTTATTTTCCGAAATAGAAGGTGATGAGTTTGCTTTTTAAGTGGGATTGATGCACCTAAAATAAATCAATTTTGATAAAAACGTTGAACGAATGGAGAAAATGATGTTGATGTGATGAAGATCAAGAAGAAAAATGGATCGAAGTCGCAATGATGTCGATGAGTAAAGAGGAAGATTGATTAAAAGTTGGCTAAAGAAAAAAGTCAGTGGTGTTTATGATCAATGATGATGAAGAATCGACAGCAATGATGATGATAATGATGATGATGATGATGATGATGATGATGATGATGATGATGCATTTAAACGTAAACAACGCTAGTGTAGATAAAAGTCAATAATATAGTGAATATGTAATGATGAAGATGATAAGGAATAAAAAGAATAAAGTTATGTTTCACATTGAGGATTGGAAGAGGATGATAAAGAACACGATAAGCTGCTTGACATAAATGTGGCGCCATCTGTTGATTATAATCGTTTACAATTATTTTATCCAATTATTTATTATTAAGTTTAAGAATTATATTAAGAACTTTAAATAATTTTATTATAACGGATAAACTATTTTTTATTATCATTTAATATATAATACAGAAAACAAGATAATAAAAATTCCAAAACATTTCTGACATCTTCATGATTTTTTAATGGGAAAATGTGATAATGATATAAATTTTAATACAATTCTTACAAACTTTTTTTTTGGTTTTATTAATTAAAAATTATAAAAAATATTAAAAAAAATTGTTTTTTAACATATTATTTCACTTTTCTGAGATATTATGTAAATTTTGCAGTTTTTTTTTCCATTAATATTTTCTAATATGTCTCAAATTATATTTTCAATTCTTTTTATGTTAAAAAGTTATGTATTATAATAAAATAAAATAATTTTACTTATAAAAGTTTATCTAGAAAAATAAATTATCAATAAAAAAAAAGGTCTTCTTCCAATTACTCATCTTTCTACATATGTTTATCTAAGAGGAGGGAAAATGAAAAGAGGAAGAAGAAAAGCTTAAGAAAATAAAAATATTTAATAGTTTTTATCATTAATAAAAAGGAAATAATCTCAAAATTAGAAGCGATTTTAGCGGAAATTCATGTTGGTAATTATTTCACTGGGATGCAGTTGCTATGGTAACGGAGGAAGAAGTGGAGAGGACGACATCAAAGTCCAGATTAATAATAAAATATTTTCGACTTGAAATTCTAGAATTTTAAAGCATTTTTTTTTCCTATTAAATTCTAAAAAATATTATTTAATAAAAAGATTTTTTATGATAAATACATTTACGATGTTTTCCAGTGTGCATGAATTTTTTACTCTGGAATAAAACCTTTGGTGACATCACGTGTGTCTATGTTTTTATTTATAGGGTGACAGCTAAAGGAGCAGGGGGAGGGAGAGGTCTAAAGAATAAGTATAGGAGCCGTGGTAGCGTGGCACGTGCCACTTTTCACTGGAGTAAAGGAGAAGTTATTTTCATACTAGTTGGACAGCAAGGAGTAGGACCCTGCATGTCGGTAAGATAAATTCTTCTCCTGAATTATAATACTTTTCTTTATGAAAATATAATTGTGGTTAGTTAGCTGAATCCACCACAAATATCCGGAATAATTGGATTTGCACACTTTTTGTAAAATTAATTCGATTTTAATATAGTTTTATTCATGAAATATTTAAATTTGTTAAATAAAACGTCGAATTACTTAAATACGTTTAATAAATTTTATAAATTTTGATGTTATTCAAAAATATATATAAACACCCTTAAAGCTTACGCTTTGCGTCAATCGGATATAAATACAATTCGCGGAATTGTTATTTTTTGTCGGTTTCGTGTAATAAAAAATAAAGCGCCATCTCTGGTTCGAAAATTAAACTAATGGCTTCAAAATTACGTATTAGTTTAAAAATGAAGTAAATTTATATTTTATTGTATTTTGTGTGTGGAATTAAATTTTAAAACATTAAAAAACAGAGTTATTTAAACTGTACAGATAAAATATAGCGATAATTAATTTAGTTTTATTGAAATATTTGAAAAATTTATTTTATTGTACTGTACTTTATCTATTTTTAAATTATTGAAAAAATAAATGAAGTACAGTAATACCTCGGTTATCGTCGGTTTCAATTTTCGTCGATTTTTTTCGCGAAGAATTTGCCTCGGTTTTCGTCGGTTGCCTCAAATTTCGTTGGTGTGCCCATGTGACCTCGCTGAAATTTGCAAAAACAAAGGGAGACCCACGCTTTTTCCTGCTCAGTTTAGCGTTGTTTCTTGTAGTGTGAGCATTACTCTGCGCGTCTAGCCAAACAATTGCTCTATGACAGCCGAACAGCGGTCAAGGTGACAGCCTACCGCTCTGGGGGGTCCCGAGATCGACTGCGGAAGGGAAAAATATCCCTAGGAATTTTTCGGAAAGTGGTCCATCCGGATATGTCGGGCCCCGTCCCTCTCCACCCGACCGCTCCATTGTGAGCTTGGCCGAACCCATAATGGGCTTGCTAAAAGAGGTTCTCTTAGTGCCCACAGGGCAGAGAGAGTTTAAAAAAAGCCAAAGATTTGCGTTGCTTTCCTTTCATTTTAGCTCCATCATGGAACCAAAGAAAGTTTCCATAGCCAGCAGCCCTTCGAATACCGTGTTAAATGTTCATTTATTTACATTAGTCTTTTATATTCATTTTATATTAATTTCTTATTCTTTTTTTAGTATTAAACACTGTATTTATTCTCTATAAAATGTGTTTTTTATTTGTATTTTGGAGTGTTTAGAACGAATTAATTAGATTTACATTGATTCTTATGGAAATAATCGCCTCGGTTTTCGGATTTCACCGATTGTTTTCGGACGGATTATCGACAAAAACCGAAGTATCACTGTATACAACATTTTTGTCTTATTTAAGGAGATGATGGTGTAACCCGATTAAAATACAGTCAAACTTCGATTTAGCGCCATTGTTAGTTCTTCTCCTTAATTGGCACTAAATAGAGTGTGGCACCAAACTGAAATACCTCAAACAATAGCAATTTATTAATGAGGTCTACACACAGGTTTGAATATGAGATCTTGAAAGTCACCTGATTTGATAATAAATATGAACATGTTTATTATTTACGGAAAGATCTTTCAGAAATATTTATTCGTGGTTTACAAGATTAGCACTATTTAGGAGATTGCTATGTTGATGTTTGACTTTGATATATGCGTAAAAAATTGAAGTCTGCCCTCTTTGAACACATCGAATTGAGTACTGTGTTGCTTAACTTTCTGGTATTTATATAAGCAAGTTATTTCGATAAAGGTCAAGTAACTTAGAATTTATATTTTAAATTCTATATTGTTGCATGAAAGATTTTTTTTAGAAATGTATGTATGTAATTGACTGCCTGTTTATCTGATTGCTCTCTATATACTTTTAAATGGTCGATTCGGATTTTATTCTTCATATAACATTCAGTTTTTTTACATAATTTACTGATATTCTATGTAATATAGTTATTCTTTTATATGATTATTTTATATTAATTCTATCTTTTTAAAAATATTACTGTTAAAATTATTTACCATTATATGAAATAGTAAATGTTGAGTAGAAATTGGTATAATTTTTATATTAAATAATGGCTTTTGATATCTGATTGTTATACAAAAACTCCCGATGTATTGAACTGTTTTGTTGATTCTTACTATTATTACTTATGATACAATATACAGTAAGTTATTTAATTTACATAGTGAAGTCATAGTAAATGATTAGCTCAATTTTTTGGAGTTACTTCGACATTAAAGCAGCCATTTTGTGGATGATAAAAGCTCTCGACTAATTGCATCAAATTACTAGAGAGCTTTCCTCATCTCTATTTTTCTTACAGTGACTGTAAAGTAAATTTTGATAACGTTATAATTGTTAATTATAGCAATTAAAAACACAGTAAAATCGATAAAATTTCCGTAATATTTCAGTTAGAACAGTATAAAAATCACTACGAATATATACTGTAACTTGTAATGTCCATTGAAATTATTTTTATGGGGAGGTTTATGTTATTTGAAAAATTGTTTTCAGACTGATTTATTGTTATTTGCAACGTTTTATACTTTTACGACTGACTGCTATATTCTGAGTTTAATGAAAGAAGTAATCGAGCTTGCAATAAAAACCGTCTTATGGCACTAGACAACAAAGAAGCTGTTATATGGCAACTTGTTCATGTCATAGCCTTTACTATAAAGAAAAATCAAGCACATATTATATTAACCAAGCTCTCAACATAAAATAAACCGTATTTAATTAAAACGAATTTATATTGAATAATTGGAGCAGCTGTTACACCCATAAGAAACTAAATTGTGTTGTTACTGACCATAGTATTGATTTCTTCATAAAGATAATTTACAGAAGAAACGTTTTAATACATAAATTTTTAACTTAGATGAAAAAAATAATAAAATTTAAAGAATACTTTAAATATTTTCAGTGTTAACTTTATCAGTATCATTATGTTTAATTAGATATACTTGAATTACAATCGATACATTAACTGTGCTTCATGTGTATTGATTTTTATAAGATTTTCATATTCTTAAGTTTTTAAATTCTTAATTTTTATGATCGTATACATTTATATTTTCGAATTTTTTTTATTGAACGTTTGCATAATTCATTTGCTTATGAATAATGTTCGAATATGTATTAGTTTCTTGTTTGTATTATTGAAATTGCGCATAAATATTGAAATGCAATCAGTTTCCATTTAAATTTTTAATAGTTGCATTTTAAAGGCGTTGTTAGAAATTCATAAATCGATATAAAGATTTTATATAATGAAAATCTACTTCGTCTTTCGTTTTTCTTATGTCCTGCATGATGAGATCGTTATTCGTTATCAGATGTTTCTACTTCATTCTGTCGCTCATTTCCTCCACATTCAATCTTTTAAATCATTCTCTACATAAACCTTTTATCTTCTCCTCGGTTACCTCTACTCTCTTCAACTTCTGCCTAGTGCAGGGGTGGCCAACAGTTTTTGCTTCCGGGCAGAATTGGAAAGAGAACTTTTTCCACGGGCCGAATCAGAGGATGCCGTAGGAAGATTTTGAGGTGGTGCGAGATCTCATTGTGGTGTAGTGAGACCCCATAGAGACTAAATTGTAGATAGAGATTACAGATACATTTCTCACATTATCATGCTTTATCAACAATCTACACTGTACTTATGAGATTTGTAATAGAAGGTTAACTCTAAACGCACAGTGAGTTGTTGACCTTTTTTTCAGACGTCAGAATTTTTCATCGATCTATTCGGACTTGAGTAGCTAATATTGAGAAATTGATCGCGGACCACATAAATTCATTAGACGGGCCAGATCTGGCCCGCGAGCCGTATGTTGGCCATGCCTGGCCTAGTGTATAAAACCACTGAACACGGATTCTTGGTCGTGATTACGCCCTCACCAACAGGCTGGCCACGGGTAGTTTTCCGGTTTTCTTCACGTGTCTAACACCTAAATAGAGGCTAGTTTCTTAAAAATGTTCTCACGGGAGGCACTACCCTTTGTCAAATGACCCACGTCTTGCTTTGCCTTATTCCATCAATCCAATTCAATCCTCTTATTATCTACGAAGTTGTTATTCTTCCTGATAATATGGTTGTACCACTGCAACTTCTAGATCATTTTTTAACACTTATGCCATTTCCTATTATCCTTCAATTATGGATCTTGTCCATTCTCTTCACGCCTAGCTTTCATCGAAATATTTTCATTTCTGCCATATCTATTCTCTTCTATATGAGCCTCGTATATTATCGCTGGTCTGATGATTATCATATTATACTTTCTCTTTCAGTCTAATGTTAATCCTTAGATTACATAAGAAACTTCCCTTCAATTTCTTCATCGTGCGGTGAAAATAAGAAATTCAGTACCAAAATGCGTTTGGATTTAGTGATATTGCACTATAAATCTACAATGAATATTTTGTTAAATGAAAAAGTTAAATTGCAATTTATCTTGTATATAATATTTGATATATTGTATACTTAATACACAATCTCTTCTAAAGATTTTCAATATTCAGTAAATCATCCTTATATGAATTTATCAAAAACTCTTTACTGTTGAATTTCCAATAAGAAAAAGTACCTCCATCTTTTCTTATTATCCACGCTGCGGATCGATAAAGCTGTAGAGAATTTTATTCCACTAAGAAAATGAATTCGATAAAAATCTCGGTAAGTCTTTTCCCAATTTGATGTTTCCAAACTTTCTTTCAGACAGATAACGTCTGTCCAAGAATGAGGAAAAAAAGGGCAGGTTTGGATGGGCTGAAGCAAGCAATGAAAAGGTTATCCAACGTCGATATCGGAGGAGGAGGTGGAGGAGGCACTTTCATTTTTAAGGTAAGAAGTTTTTTATCTTCTACCATAAAGTGATGGCTTGCAGCAACACTAGTGTTTATTACGTGTGACTGACCAGTGATATTCTTTATGTGGATTAACCCAATCCACTCAAGAGTGAGTAATTACATTTATCTGTATGTATAGAAAAACCCTAAAAATAATAATCCAATGCCTCTTCTGATTGCCGGAGGAGGTGGTGGATCATCTAGTGACTTGAGACCAAACGGTGGTGTCGATCCCAACGGGCGTGGATACAACTCTTCTTTGCTAGCTGGAAATGGAATGTCGTCACCCAAAGGAGCAGGTAGGATTGGTTAAACTTTTAAAAATTTATAATTAAGATTAATTTAGATCATTATTTAATTAATGTGCAGGGGGAGGTGGAGGATGGAATGATACTAATTCCGAGACGTCAGCTGGTCAGTCGTTGCTTCAGGGTGGATATGGAGGAAATATTTGTAGTATGTTACACTCTATCAGCGAATCTTACGGTGGATTTGGTGGTGGAGGTGGTCCTTGTGCTTCCGGTGGTGGTGGTGGAGGATATAGAGGTAAAACCCTACACTTGAATATTTATTAGTTATAAGATCATTCATGAACGTATTATTGCAGGAGGAGATGCTCCAACTTCTGATAATCCTTATACAAATGGACAGGGTGGTACTTCTTTTTTCATGGATAGTGCACTGTATCCTTATGTTGAACCAGGAGTCAACGAAGGAGATGGCTCCGTGGATATACTTCCAGCTGAACCGGGTTGTGGTTGTCAATATTTATGTATTATTCTCGAGTCGGACAATTCGACACATTGCATCTGTCCAGAAGGTCAAAGCCTAGAGAAAAATGGAAAGAGTTGTAAAGGTAAATGAGTATAACTCTTTAAAAATAAACTATAATAATCTTAATGTGTTCTATAAATATATTATAGCATTCGTTCCCACCACAAATCTTAGAGATAGCCATTATATATCCGTTCAACATGTCATCATGATAGTCTTTTCAATGGTCGTCGCAGTGGTACTCATTGCATCTTCAGTATATATGGGTGGTACGATTATTCCATCATTATATACATGAATAAGCGTAAAAATATAAAATAAATTCCAATTTTCTTTGCAGTCACGCGCTATAAGAAAAAACAATCACGCGATATGAGCCACGAACCTCTCAATAATGCTGAAGTCCAGCTTAATCGTCTAAGACAAGTCGGAGGAATGGTAACCGAATATAATCCAAATTACGAATTCGGTGGTAGTACTTGCACCATTCAAGACTTGCCACATGTGCCAAGAGAAAATTTAACTCTTGTCAAGTAAGAATTTTGATAAATAATGTTTATTTTCATTACTTCTTACTTCTAGAATCAAAATTGTTTGGTTTTTGATTGTAGGGTTTTGGGCCAAGGTGCTTTTGGTGAAGTTTATCGAGGTTATTTAACAGATAGATCGAGCGGAACTGAAACACCTGTAGCAGTCAAGGTGAAGTAATAAAATTAAATCCTTACAGGAAAATTTCTGTAAAATTTATAATGGTTCCCCATATAAAACTATAATAATATATTTCAGACTTTGCCCGAGTTGTCTTCTAGTCAGGCAGAAATGGATTTCTTGATGGAAGCATTAATACTAAGGTGAGCTTATTTAGAAAAGTACGATATAAAGTCACGTGGCTTTTGGTATTCAGCTGATCTTTCAACTGAAATATCTGTATTTTATATTCATAATTCTGTTATTCTAACCATATCAGTTATAGTTTCTAACTGTACTGTGCCATTAGATTAAAATTATGATTTCAAGGACAAAGATTGTCTTTTCTGTAATTTCATAGTCATTACGGTATATATAAAGTAAATTTGAGGATTAAGATTCCAAAAAGTTATACTACATTATAATTATGGCATAAAAATAGATAAACACAAGGTATTGTAACTGTGGTTTATTCCAATAGGATTTTGAAGTTTCTAACGTTTATAATTTTTCAATTGATAAGAAACGTCAATTTTTAAATTTTTCATAAAATATAAGCTTAAATCTGTGGTGAAGCTCAGATTTTAAAGTATATATTTCAGTTTTTCTTTTGAGAAAATTTTACTATACTTTGACAATACAATACTGTATTGACAATACAATACTTTGCAGTATTGACAATATTTTCACATTTGTAAATCTACAGTTACAGACAAATTTAATTTTTTTTCTATGAATAATGATCAGTCAGAAGACTCTTAAAGCATTTTTTAAAATTGCTTTTCTATATTTTAATATTTCAGTAAGTTCAATCACCCGAATATCGTCCGGTTTCTTGGTGTTTGCTTCGAAAAGTTGCCACGTTTCATCGTCTTGGAGCTCCTACCAGGAGGTGATCTGAAAACGTTCTTGAGAGAATCCAGACCCAAGCCAGTAAGTTTGTGGTTTTCTTTTTTTTCTAATATTTGCCCCTTTAAAGTTTAGTAATCTGGAATTCGCTCGTAACGTAGCACAAGCCGAGCAACCTCACTATGACTGATCTGCTGAACGTTGCCATGGATGTCGCCAAAGGATGTCAGTATTTGGAAGAGAATCATTTCATTCATAGGTAAATGCATGTAGTAATATTTCTCTCACGCAATTCTATTAAAATAAGTAGCAGTTGTCGTCACGCAATAAGTATACGTGACAATTTAATTAGCATTTCAATAAATTAGTTCACTTTTGTTTACAGTGAAACCAAGAAATTATTGATTGAAATGGATAAATTATTTTATACTTTTACGGAAATTCTTACAAATTCTTTCATTAATTCGTGAGAATGTAGGTAAAGAATTTCTTGATTTTATAATATGATGATTGCTGAGGCGGTTAAGGCGTTATACTACCGTTCTGGGGAATCCGGAATCATATCTGGACGGATCGAAAAACCATAAGAATTTTTCGGGGGTGATTTATCCTGATGTCCGGTCATCTCCCTCATACCCCGCTGTCCTGTTTGAACGCACGAGCCTGTAAAAAGGCTCTTTTTGCGACTATCATAATCATGTGATTGTCAAAATTTACGCGATAATACTACAATTCAATGTAAATGATATTACTTATTTTTAGAGATATCGCCGCTAGGAATTGCCTGTTGACTACCAAAACTTCAGACAGAGTGGTCAAAATAGCAGATTTTGGTATGGCAAGGGATATATATAGGTAAATATGCACAAAAATTCACTTGAAATACTCCTGTTATTCTTATATAATCTGAGTTTTGTTTGCAGAGCGGATTATTATAGAAAAGGAGGTAAAGCCATGTTGCCAGTTAAATGGATGCCCCCTGAAGCCTTTCTGGATGGAATTTTTACTACAAAAACTGATGTCTGGTAAGTGTAAACAATAATTAAAGTTTTTTAGCATAAATTTTTATGTTATGTAAGAGGAAGATCATTCGAAAACGTTTTATCGACAATTGCTAAACGTCCTTCATAATTTCTTCAATATCTTCTTTTAGTGATCATATTCTTTGTAGAACAATTAAATCTCCTTTAACAAAAATCAATAATTTAATAATTCATCTGTTAACTGACACTTTTTCAGGTCATTTGGCGTATTGTTGTGGGAAATCATGTCATTAGGTTATATGCCATATCCCGGTTGGGGCAATCAAGAAGTGATGCAATTGGTAACATCAGGAGGAAGATTGGATCCACCTAACAATTGTCCTAATCAAATGTAAGTAACAGTAATAAAATTTCAATATTTTAATGTTGCAACTAATGCTAATTTGCATATCAATGCAGCTACCACATTATGATGCGATGCTGGCATCCGATACCCGAAGAAAGGCCAAATTTTGCTACAATTATAGAACGTTTGGGATATTGTCTGCAGGTACTTTTTATTTTTTTATAAATTATATAGTGCTACATAATTTTACTGTGGTGTCAAATAAAATGTGGTAAATATTGCAAGTTAGTTAAAGAATAGGTTACATTTCATGTCATGTTAAATTTGTTTTAATGTAAATATTTCAAGTCTTTAAGTAAATGAAAAGTAGATATAGTAAAAATGCCTAAAGAATGCCCCTTTAATTAATAGAAAATAGCAAGTGTGTTAAATTAATCAATACAGTAGAACCTCGATTATCCGCCCCCGATCAACCGACCCCTCGGTTAACCGACCGTCCTAGTCGGCAAATTTCAAATGTCCGCTAGTGATGTGGCGCTACAATATTTGGCTATGTCTTGGCTACTTTAATATTATTTTTACGTGTTTTAGCTGGCAACACTCATTCGACCATGAAAGGGAGCCAGTATTTAAACGAAGCTTAATTTTCTAATTTTTAACGATACAATAGCGACGATTATTATTTTAAAAAATTTTTGTTAGGCTTAACATCGATGAAAATTCAACGCAGAATAGGTTAATAGCGATATACTAATATACTAATTACATGGGATATAATAATATACTACACTAATAATTGATTTTTTTCATACTTTCCGGTTATCCGACTTTTCAATTATCCGACCAACCCCAGTCTCCAATTAGGGCGGATAATCGAGGTTCTACTGTATAGTTGATCAAAAAGATCTAAAAGAGATAATGATGGTGAATGATTATTTATAGATGAGAACAAAGAGCGCGATTATTTGTTGTCATTTATCCTTACATTATCCTTTTCTTCTTCGCTACCAGTTCTATATTTTATTTTCTTCGTGTGCCATAGTATAATTTCTGTGTTAAAAGTTCTTTAATGCATACAGGATAGCCCAAAATTCAGCTGACAAATGTAAAGCTTATTGCTGTTATACTAACTGTGCCAAGTTATAAAATAAAACTATATTTTTCTAAACAAAGCTTACGATTTGTATTTACAATTGTATCCGGAACATACCAAACAAAACAGAAGTAACTGACTTTTCGGGTTACTGTATTCTCTCTCTACAAAGATATTGTTTGATTTTCTTATATTTAAAAATCTAACAGTAAGTTATAAAAATTTACCATTTAATGAAATTAAAATGGAGATGAAATATTTTAATAATTTAATTTCTTTTTAGGATCCTGATGTCATCAGAGCACCTCTGCCCATCTTCCACAGGCCTCCTTCTATGGAGAGAGATGCCACCGTCATGAGGCCACCCGATTCTGAAAATTCGTGTTTACAGGTAATTATATTTAATGAAATAATATTTGCAATCATTTTACTGGATTTATAATTGCAGATACAAAGGCACGAGATCGTCTCTCCAGGTTCAGAGGATTACTTGATCCCCATGCCATCTTCCAATTACAGTTTGGCTACCGACAATACCGAAATTCAATCCTCGCCTAGTCTTGGCTCCATCGATCAACTGCTCGAATTAGACGAGAGTAATAGCTCAAAACGTAAACAAGAAACGGAACGTGCTACTAGAGAAACAAATCTGTCTCAACCACCTTTCGACAAGAAAGGATATAAAGCAGTCCCTACCAAAGATAACCGTGGGGGTCTTTCCAGTTCTGAAAGTCTAGAAGCCCTACCAGTGGCACCGAGTGTGGACTCTCAAGCCGATTTGGCACTCAACGTGGAGGCTTTACAACGGCAAACGGCCAATCAGCCCATGCGTTACATCAACGTCGAAGTCAATCGGGACAAACAATCGAGTCCAGCGTACGATGGTGTGGAAGGTGTCAATCCAGTAGCATAAAATCGAAAGAAAAAAAATTGTATATATTGGAAAAAAATAAGTACTGTACATGTAGAGAAAACTTTGTACATCTCTTTCTCTTCGGTCTCTGTGCACTTTTTAGTCGTGTCTTCTTCACCTTTGTCGTGTCTGGTAATTGGTTCTTCTTAATTTTTAAAATCTTGTATGATTACATTCCTAAAAGTTGAAAGAAATACGGGAACGTTCAATAAAGTGTCTGTCCGAAACGTTGTCGATTATCTTCTATTGTTTCAAAGACAAATTCCGTACGTAGAACCGATATAAATATCAATAAATAAAAAATTTCATATCCATAAAAGCAACTTATTCGAACTCTTAATATTATTTCGAGACTTACGCATAAACTAAACGAATTGAAAAATTAAATACTTTATAAAAATTATGCAGCTATTAATAAAAATTTATTCTAATTCTTTATAAAATCTTCAAAATGCACCAATCGGAAGCGATCTCATTATTACACATCACGACCGTTTAATTTAAAATTTGAAATAATAAGTCAGCCAATAAAGAAATCTCTTCCGATGACGTGCTAAAAAGAAACCAATAACGCAATAATAACAATCTACGTCATTGAGAGACTATCCAATGAGAGACTAGAGAGCAATTGCATCAGAGGAAAGTAGTGACGTCGATAGAGGAATCTTTAAAATGACTTTATAATTTAATTTAACACGAAACTTGGGTGAATTAATATTAAAAAAAAAAAGTTTTATGGTCGAGTTTTATAGCAAAATATTATTTTTTCATACGGATTTTAATTCATTCATATTAAATAATATTAAATGTTTTGTCTACTAGATGGCGCCAGGTAAATATTTAAAAAAATGTAACCCTCTTATCGATTATGTTTCTATTTTTAACTGACACCACTTCCTATTTAAAGTGTTGATAAAATTTGAACAAATGTTGCTCTTAGATAAACAAAATTAACAAATTTAACATCAATTTTTCCACATTAAATAAAACCAGACATATGACATAAATTTGCAACATATACATTCAGACATTTTCGTGTCATGGCCGATAGATTTGGCTCAATTAAGCATAAGTTAAATATATATTATGCGTTGTATTCTCCACATAAGCTTCTGTGTTATCAAATGTTTCATCTATACGTACAGTACATATGTATCACGTGCACATAAGTGTTATGACAGCTAATTCCTGTGTTTGTAAATGCATCCAGTGTGTGTGTTTTTTTTGTGTGTGTCTGTACTTTGTTTCTATTTTATGTGTGCTTCTCCTTTTGTTTCTGTGCTTCGACGATGTTGCTATCTATAATACTAATATGAAAAATTTATACATGTGTATTTTTGTGTACTAAACTATACATAAAAATGGGTAAATGCTGTGGAGGGATTCAAATTTATTCTACGAACCTTATAACTTGATATAAAGATAGTATGTGACCCTTTATGTTTTGTGTTGTCTATTATAATGTAAACTAGCATCGATGTTAAGAAATCTTCACATTAATGGTGATGACTCTAATACACACAGAGAAATTTACGTTGCAGACTATATTAATAGAAGAAAATGATATTCTATTTAGGCCTATATGTTATGAGGTTTAATTAAATAAACAAGGTATGTTTTATTATCCTGCTATGCTTCTATCTGTGGTGATTTATGATGTCTGTCTGTAACGCGATAATGTATATAAGTATGCAAAGCGACGCGATCTATTATAAATTAGATGCGGCGCGACAGACACACAAATAACTGCTAATAACTACTGTTTCCGACTTTAGCATTTATTGATTTTTCGAACGTTCTATCATGCAAATATGGCGATGTTTCAATAGAAAAAAATTATTACCAATTTTTATTTCTTTTTATATTTGTGGTGCATACATTATTAGCTACAGACAGACAAGCATACAATAATACAACTGTTAAAAAGACTATAAATCATCTCAAAACCGCCTAAATTGTGTCCACGACGCTTTAAAACGCATATAATCATCAAAATTTTTATGTAAAAAAGGCTTATGAACACCGTATTGATCTCATAGATTATATAGTATATCTATGAGAAATAATTTACAATCGCATAGATTATAAAAGAAAATAACAGTGGAAAGATCAAAAAATTTGGAGTAAAACAATAAGTAAAAAGCATTAAAAAAAAATTTTTGAATTGACTTCTATACAAAGGTCACTGGTTTATCTGCCCGCATATAATTTAATTAAGTTGCAAAACTCGAAATAAAATCAAATAATGAATTGATATTAATACCTTTCATGCTTAATTTATTTTTATTTAAAATTCGTTTAAAGTGATCTTTAATAATGAAAATGTAAAAAGGTTACTGTTTATTCGGGAGTAGCCCTTTAATCTTTACAGAGGATTTTTTCCCCCTCTAAAAATATATATAAATAAAAATCTACTTTAAGGACAAACGCACCTATGACATTTTAATTGACATTTAACATTAAATAGACTATTTTCTAGAATAAAATGAAATTCTAACTTTGCGAGAAAAATAGAAAAATTGAACTTTACAATAAAATTTTCCCTCGTTCTATTTTTAACTTCGCATTTTCATTTTTGAATGTTAAATTATAATTAATTGAATGGTTAGTCAAATTTACAATGGATCCATTCTTCATAATCTATCCTTCTAATTCCTCTTATAGATAAAAGTAACCTTCCTATAATTCACGAGCTTTGTTCTAGATACAGAAGAACCCTTCCGTAAATTTACACTTTATCCTCTTGTGAAATGAACCTTTCTATAAACCTTCTTGACATAAACGAGCCCTTCTATAAAGCCTAATCGTATTTTCATCACACTAACGAACTCTATTACAAGCTGCAAGCTTACCTTCTTGATATAAACTCGCCTTTCATAAATATCAAGCTTAAGTTACTCGATACAATTAAAAAATATATACCTCATGAAATTTGGAAGGTTAAAAAACAACACAATCTTCAGAAAACTCAACAATATAAGGTCATAATTCGAATTCGATTTTATACAAATAAAGTCTGAAAGTCCATGAAATAAATCTTCACTTTTGAACTTAAAAACAGTCTTTCAGAAAATTCAATGAATAAAATGTTCTAAACAAACCTAAAAACTGCAGAAAAAAAAAGAAAAAATTGAATTTTTATTAAAAATTAAATAAATCTTACGCAGGGAAAACTCTAAATATTTTGAAAGGATAATGAGTTCTGAAGAAAGCAAAAATTAAAAAATTTTTTAAAAAATATTTCAGTAGAAAATACTATTTAATAAATACAAATAATTACAAAAATTCATCAATTTAAAATTATTTTTAGAAAGATTAAAAATTACAACATTTAATGTTTTATATAATAAAAAATTTTTGGAAGAAAATAAGGGTTTTTTGAGAGGAAAATCCTCTAAAACGTTTTCTTTTAANGTTAACTTGCCGGTGAACGTAGTCGAAGGCGCCTCTACCGGCTAAATCCGAAACTAGCCATTCATAAACTCGGGCAATCGATTGATGCTAACGAAAAAAAAAAACAAACTATACGTACGTAAAGGTAAATCGATAATAAAATTTAATTATTTAAAAAAATATATGTCAATATTTTAAAAATTCCCTAAAAAGCTTTCTTTTAATTTAGTAAAATTTGATTAAAAATGCTTTTTTTAATTTAAGAAAAAAATTTTTTAAATGCTTTTGTTATAAAAGGAAAATTCCTTAAAAAGTACTCTTAGCACAGCAAGAGTTCCTTTAAAACCTTTTAAAATCAGGGAAATTTCTTTAAAAAAAAAATGTTAGGGAATTACTCTAATAGCGCTCCCAAAAACTATTTTTCCTTTTTTTTAATTAATTTTAACCTGCATCATTTCAGCAGACTTCTTCACAAAACAGGATTAAAGAAAATACAATTAGAAAAAAAATTACCCTCATTAAAAATATCTTTACAATTTTCATTAAGTGTTCAAACTATAATCAAATTTATCGTTCATATATATAGTTTTGTTATATTTAGTAAGCCAAGAACGGGGAATTTACGCCAGTTCCTGACGTCATTCAGGTAGCCGAATACGTCACACATTTGATGTTACAATTCGCTTATAATGACGTCACATTCAGCGAATTATCCATTGAAAGTTCGGGAACTGAACCGGGTGTTCTACTGCCCTATATTTTGGTTTCATTCATTCACCATTCTGCAGTTCCATTCGCTTCTGCGGTGAACGCACTAGTCGGATAACGCTTGGTACAGTTGCCATGGAGACTGTGACGTAAATTCTTTCACCCCGTCTCTTCGTCCCCCTTTTAGAGTCCAGTCTAATACACATGTCGGTCGGGTGCAGTTAGATTTTAGCAATGTGACAAGTCGGTTTCCTCAGTAAAGGGGTAGAAGGGTCAACATGCAGGTTGCTTGTTTCTGGAGGTCAAAGGTGAGTTCGCTTTCTTCTATCCCTTTTATCTCTCGTATATTTTCTATTGCTATAACTTTGTGCATGTTTAAAATATATCTTTTTTGCACTGGAAAAAGTCATATGTATGTTTAATTAATGTATGCAACGGAGTAACGAAGGGGTTAAAGTGACTTTTAAGTGTTTGTGATGCAAAATATTTTTTTTTTCTACCAAATTTGTTGGAATTTTTTAAAATAGATTGTCTAGAAAATCACCCCTCTTGTTATTTTCCTTTTGCGTTTATACTATATGTGAGACGAGTTACTATTTTTAGAACTAAGATCAATATTCTCAAGCCGTTGCTTGTCGAAATAGCGGATATATCCTGGATGTGTTTTCATTTGATGTTTAATATTTTGTTTTTTAAGTAATTGTAAACGTTTTTCTATAAAATTTATAAATCTACATGCTTCTTCGACTTCATTAAATTGCATAAAATTGTGCTACCAGCGTTATAAAACAGCTTCGAAAGACTCAAATGAGCGCTACTTAACTAACAATCTTGCACGATGATGATATGCCGTACATAACGTAGATTTACAGTTAAAGCACGTATATATATTGTTGCTAGGGGAGGACCTGGAGTGTTTTTTCGTTGAATAGTGCGCCATTCGTTTAACAAAACTAATTTATTTGTATGCTATCTGCTTGATTAACGTCTCTCGTTTATGCAAATTAGCAGCGAGCATAGCTTTAACGCTAATCGAAGACCGCGATTCGCAAGATGTCTAAGTAACTCTCTTCTACTATAGAATTATAAATGAAGTTGTTACTGTGTCAGCTGTTGAGATAGCAACAAATACGCCGCTCTTCTTCCTCGCGTTTGATAAGCATGAATTGTTTTTTTTTTTTTTTTTAAATTCCACCAATTCGTATTTGATTTTAATAAATTAATAATTAGTTATTATTATTTATTAGGATTGTTTATTATTTAAAATCTACTTTATACGCTTTCGAAATTCTTCCGATTCTCTTAAATATTAAAATTAAAAAAAAAAAATTTGTTTATGAAAACAAAAACAAGTTCCGCACTCAGTTGATTGGCAACGTTACCGATGACTGCCATCTGGTGGAACGAGAGGAAGCAAGTTAATAAAATTCAATTTTAAATTAAAAAAAATAACTAATTAAATAATTTTAATAATAACTAAATTAATAAAATAGGATTAAAATTATAATTTATTCAAGATTTAAAATAAAGATTAAAAAAAAAAATAAGGATATTTATAACGTAGTAATTTTTACTAATTTTGTAAATTTTTGTTTGAAAAATTAATTAAAAGCGATCATTTATTTTAAGAAATAACGCTTTAAAAAATAGCTAGAAGCGAAGAGAAAAATTATACATAAAAAATATCGTTTTATAATTATAATCTGTATATTTAAAAGTCATTGTTTACGAATCGGCGTGTGATGAAACGTCAAATTATAGATGTTATGGTAGATAGAAAGTGTATTTTGCAATAACGCTTACCGGCAACAAACGCACAATGAATGAATGTGTTATGAATGAGCTTAGCTTTCTCTCTTGTGCGTACGTGTCCTATATTTCGATTGAAACCTTTCCATTCAGGTTAACTTGCCGGTGAACGTAGTCGAAGGCGCCTCTACCGGCTAAATCCGAAACTAGCCATTCATAAACTCGGGCAATCGATTGATGCTAACGAAAAAAAAAAACAAACTATACGTACGTAAAGGTAAATCGATAATAAAATTTAATTATTTAAAAAAATATATGAAGATATTTTGTAAAATAATAAAAATGTGTAATTTTTATGCGAAAATCAAAACAATAATGTTTATGAACTCGTCGCATTTGTTTAAATGACGTCATGCCATTTTGCACTTTTCGAATTTTCATAATAATTAAAGGAGTTTTGTTTCGTAAAATTATTTCTTAAACTAAATTTCGAAATAAAATGTATTAAATTCGATAATATCAGTGCAATTTTTGCTTTTCACTGTTGGCGTTTATTTCCTGTGAGCTTGTGACGTTATCGATATCGCTTGGTTTCAAATTTTAAATGCGTAATTAATTTTTATGTAATAGATACATTTCAAACTATTTTTACTTAAAAATAATATTGTGTTTGGTAATTAAAATAGGAAAATAAGCAGAAAAACATACGAATGACATCATGTAACCTTGTTGCTCATTTCAAATATCAATTTTGGACAATTTTTTTTTTCTAATTGATGAATTTTAAATTATTATTTGAACATTTAAAAAGTTGATAAAATAATTTTAAAAATAAAATATAAATTATAGTTAATAAAATTTCGAATTTGGATATGGCTAATTTAAAATAATGCTGATGACGTCATTTTTAAAATGCATTCAATGAAGATTAAAATTGATTTGTAAAGCTGAGTTTTTAAATACTTTTACTTAAAACTATTACTTCATAAAAAATAATTTAAATAAAATTAATTAAAACTTTTAAATGCAATATAAAGCGACTTGCGGTGACGTCATGCCTAACGTAAACCTCACAAAAATGAATAAAAATAAACAATATAATATTACTTTCATTTCTATTTATCGATTAAATTTAAAATATAATAATACAAGGAAATAAAATGACGCAAAGAGACTTCTTAAAATATGAACTTCGATTCAAAAATTTGAAAAATGACGTCATCAAGTCGTCGTCAAAACCAGACGATCGAACGAACTTATTATTTTTTTTTAATCCGATTTTTAATAAAAATTTAACAAATATTAATACTTTAAAATACGCTATTTTAAATATTTTCAAGAGAAATAATGAAAATAAACAATTTAGATAATTAAAAGAAAGCAATGACGTCACGCATTAAAAAAACTAATTTATATAAAGCTAAATAACGATGCATTCAATCTTTATAAGTTTTAAAAATTTAAATATAGTAATAAAATAAGTTCTAACGACACTCGGATTATAATATTAATGAAAGTAGTGATGTGTGATGAAAGATTCGACGTCATTCATTCCGGTTTATATTGTGTGACGTCATGAATTTTAAAAACATTCATTCATAAAGCAGAACATTAAGGAAGAAAATTGAATAATAAATGTATTTTTAGAACAGGCCTTCAGCTTTAAGGCAATATGACGTCACAATTTTACAACTTTTTGAATGATAATTTAACAATTTATTATCTCACGAGTTTATAAGCGATTTTCATCGAAAAAATTTAAATTTTTTTCTCAAATTTGATTGGATAAAAATAAGTTAATATTCAAATTTAAACTAATCATTTTTTATGTAAGATTATGAATCCTTAAGCATTTTTCCTGGAGCGTTTGTGGTTTTTCGAGTGGATATTTTGATATTTTTATTAATCATAAATGATTTAAAAACCTAAAAGTAAATAGATTTTTTTATTAAATTACTTTTTTTAAAAATTAGAATTGATCCGGAGCTCATCTTAAAAGCGCTTTGCATCTTTCAAAGAGCCTTCAGGCCAGATGCGGATCGATTCGATTTGTATTCCAAACTTTTATGAATTTATTTAATATTTTTTATTGTTATTATTAAAAGTAGCAAAAGAACACAGTTTTTAAACATTTTTTTTTATCTAAAATTCTATTTTGAATGGAAGTTTCTGATAGTTTTTTTCTAAGGAAGATGCCAAGAGCCTCCAGTCGAGTTTTGGATTAACTAGACAATTAACGAATTAATTCAATTTTTTAATTAAGTTATTAAAGAAAAGAACAATTTTACGCAATTTTTAATTTAAAGTTTGACGATTTATGTGAGAAAATTTGATATTTTTCTTCAAGTTGGAAAAATCTTCACATGAGGTTTGGTTCAGTGATTTAAATTTTATATAAAATGTTTGAAGAATTGAATAATTTTTTGACTAAATACACGTGTTTATACTATTTTTTACATTATAATTGCATTTTATATGAAAAAATTAACTATTTTTATGAATATTTCTATTTGCAAAGTGAGGATCCAACGAGGACCTTCATAAAAAATGATTATATACGTTTTTATGCAAATAGTTAAATAAATGGAACGTTTTTATTCATTAAAAGCGTGTTAAAATGTTTATTTTTTGTAATTAATTGTCGAGCAACGAAGTTTTATTGAGATAAGTTCGAATGAAGAAGAAGGTTGAACATACAATTTCGTTAGAACGAAGAATAGATTTCATGAATTTTACTAGATTTTTAATTTAATAAACATGACAAATTATTTGTCATTAATTTAAAAATAAGTTTTGCCATTATTTTAATTAAGAAAATTTTTTAAGGCTTATGAAGGTTGAGGTTTTTACTATTCAAATGATCGCTATTTTTTTTTATCCCTCTTTGATTAGAATGAAGAATTTTAAATGTGTATACTTGTATTCTCATCAAAACTTCAAATAAGTTGTAATTTCTTACAAATTCTTGAACAGGAAACAAATTGCACTAATCTTTGCTGATCAAATTTGCGTATATCCTGTATTTTCAAATTATTAATATGAAATTTTGATCTCAAACAAATTTTTCATTTATTTTTGGTCTAATAAGGATATAATTTCTTGATATTATTAAATATTTTTACACACAAAACGCCTCGTAATTTTGCTAAAGATCCATCCACCATGTAAGATCTCGATCTTCAGGTAGATCTTATAATCAGGAAAATCGCCGTAGATTCTATATAAAATATTCCATTTAAGCTACTTTATTGTGAATTGATATATAATTTAATTAAGCATAAAGTTGGTTCCGTGTGAAATGAATAAAAATAATAATAACATTTAAGTGGAATTACTAATGAGGAACCTTGAAATCATACAATAGATTATCAAATTCGCTTATAAAATTGGGTTTTAAGCCTGTTGAATCAATAAAAATAATTCGTTCTAGCCTTTAGATGTATGAAATGTAAAGATTTGAGCAAATTGCATGTGTTTTTCAACTTTAAAATATTTTTAAAATGTTAAAATTTCTACATCATAAGTGGAGAGCGTATAGTTGATAGAAGAACCATTATTT